CCACAAAGAAAAGCCCAAATGTTTAAAGAATTTACACTAAGTTTTCGTAAATGCATGGAAATGATAGAAGAGGAAACACTTCCTAATTAAATCTTGAGGCAAGCAATCCCCTGATACCAAAACCAAAGACATCACAATAAAAGAACTTTTAGGAATCAAAGGACACAATCAGCAAAGTGAAAAGGTAACCTACAGAATGGGAGAAAATATTTGCTAATCCTGTATCTGGTAAGGTGTTATATCTAGAACATGTAAAACTCTGCAATGCAAAAACAAAAACAATCAAATAATGTAATTTAAAAATGGGCCAAGGAGTTAAGAAGACATTTCTTCAAAGATGATATACAAATGACCAACAAACACATGAAAAGATGAGCAACATCACTAATCATCAGAGATATGCAAATCAAAACATATCACTTCACACCCATTAGAATGACTAATGTCAAAAATAAAACAGAAAATAGCAAGTGTTGGTAAGTATGTAGAGACATTAGAACCTGTGCACTGTTGGAAAGTTGTAAAAGGTACAACCTCTATGGAAAACAGTAAGGAGGTTTCCTGAAAATTTCTAAAAATAAAAAGAACTACCATGTGATTAAAAAGTTTCATTTCTGGGTCTATATTCCCCAAAATTGAAAACAGAGTCTTCAGATATTTGGACACCCATGTTCATTATTGCACTATTCACAATAGCCAAGAGGTATAAGCAGCCCAAATGTCCATCAGTGGATAAATGGATAAACAAAGTATGGCATATGCAATAGAATATTACTCAGCCTTAAAAAGGACGTATCCTATAACATGGGTGAACTTGAGGACGTTATACTAACTGAAATAAGCCGGTCATAAGGAAGACATACTGTGTGATTCCACGTGAGGTGCCTAATCAGATTCATAGAAACAAAGTAGAATGGTGGTTACCAGGGGCTGTGGGGGACAGGGGTGAAAGGAGTTGTTACTTAGTTCTTGTAGAGTTTCAGTTTGCCACCATGAAAATATTCTGAAGATCTGTTTCACAACATGTGAATACACAAAGCACTACTGAACTGTACACTTAAAAATGGTTAAGATGGTAAATTTCATGTTACATTTTTACCACAATAAAAATTGCAAAAAAGGGTTTTTTAAGAAAAACTGTGACCAGTTTTCTTCATTAATACAGATGCAAAAATCCTCAAAAAATACTAGCAAACTGGATTCAGCAGCTTACAAAAAGGATTATATACCCTGACTAACATGCAAAAATTAATCAGTGGTCATACACCATATTAATAGAATAAAGGGGTGAAAGACCACATGGTCATCTCAATAGACAAAGAGAAACTATTTGACAAAGTCCAACACTCAACGAATTGAATAGAAGGAAACTTCCTCTACCTGATAAAAGGCATTTACAGAAACCCATACCTATCACAGTAATTAATGGTGAGAGACACTGAAAGCTTTTCATCTAAAATCAGGAATGAGGATGTTTTCTCTCGCCACTTCCATTCCACATTGTACTGGAGGTTTCAGACAAGAGCAATCAGACAAGGAAAAGAATTAGAAGCATCCAGACTGGAGGAGAAGTAAAACTGTATTTTCAGATGGCATGATCTTATGTATAGAAAATCTTTAGGAATCCACAGAAAAACTGTTACAGTTAATAAGCATCTTAGCAAGGTTGCTGGATACAAGAATTAGGAATAAAGTTGGAATGGCAATCCAAAAACGAAATTAAGAAAGTAATTCCACTTATAATAATATCAAAAGAATAAAATACTTAGGAATACATTTAACCAAAAAAAAAAAATGTAATACTGATACACTGAAAACTACAAAATGTTTAGAAGGCCTAAATAAATGAGACATCCTATATTCATGGAATGGGAAACTTAATACTGCAGTCCTGTCCAAATTGCTCTTCAGATTCAGTGAAAATCCTAACCTGGCATAAAGGTAAACGTACAGATTAGTGAAATAGAATTAAGAGTCAGAAATAAACCCATGTATCTATGATGAATTTATTTTTGACGTGGAGGCCAAGATAATCCAAGGGGAGGGCATGGCACCGTTCCACAGATGATGCTGGAACATTTGAACATCATCCACATACAAAAAATGAAGTTAGATTCCTGCCTCATGCTACATATAAAAATTAGCTCAAAATGGATCAAATACCTAAATGTAATAGCTAAAACTGTAAAATGTTTACAAGGAAACATAGGGATACATTTTCCTGACCTTAGATTTGCAAGTGAATTCTTAGAAATAATACCATCAGCACAACATCAAAACAAAATATAATTAAGATTTTACCAAAATTGAAAACTTGTACATCAAAGCACTATCAAGAAAGTGAAAAGAAAACCTACAGAATGGGAGAAAATATTTGAAAATCACAAATCTGATAGGCCTTTAGTATCCAGAATTTGTAAAGTATTCTTCAAAACCAACAACAAAAAGATTTTTTTTTAAGTGAGCAAAGGATTTGTATATCTTCTCCAAAGAAGATATAAAAATGGCCAATAAGTACATGAAAAGATGCCAAACCTTTGTAGTCAGGAGGGCTGTGCAAATCAAAATCACAATGAGATACCACTTCACGTCCTCTAGGAAGGCTGTTTTTATTTTTTAAAGAAAATATTAAATGTTGGTTGAATGTGGGAAAATTGGAATCCTCTACATTACTGGTGGAAGGTAGGATGACGCAGCCAGTGTGAGAAACAGTTTGGCAGTTCCTCAAAAAGTTCAACATCGAGTTACCGTATGACCCAGCAGTTCCACTTCCAAGTATGTACCCAAGAGAGCTGAAAACATACATTGACACAAAATCTTATTCAGGAGTGTTTATGACAGCATTATTTTGTATAATAGCCAAAAAATTAAAACAACTTCCAGTGTCCATCGTCTGATGAATATGTAAACAAAATAAATCTGCCCATTGGAATATTATTCAGCTGTAAACTAGAATGAAATCCTGCTACATGCCACAACATGTACAACATGAATGAAACTTGAAAACATTATGCTAAGTGTGAAAGAAGCCAGACACAAAAGGCCACGTGTTACATAATTTTATTTATATGAAATGTCCAGAATAGGCAGATCCGTAGAGACAGAAATGAGATTAGTAGCTGGGGAAAGAGGGAAGGGGGAGAAGCAACTGCTGATGGGTGTGGAGTTGCTTTGTGTGCTGAAGAAAATGTCCTGGAATTAGAGTGGTAATGGTTGCACAACCTCATGAAAATACTAAAAACTACTAACCTGTATGCTTTAAATGGTGACTTTTATGATATTTGCATTATATATCAATTTTTAAAAAGTCAGAGTCAAGCTTTAGCCGGTGGAGATAGTAACCATACCGTCCTGAAGATGAGAGAAAAAACATTGTAAGGGATTCGGGTTTAAGATACAATAAAAAACAACCAACCAACCAAAAAAAAAAAAAAACCCTCAATAATCACTATCATAAGAACTAGAATTTTTTTAATTGTATCCTAGAACTGAAAGCCTACCTAACTTGCAATATGGACCACTACCTAAATAGTCTTTTAACTCTTCTAGAACAAAGGAATAAAGAGTACTCTAGGGTAGCCAACATTAAAGCAGAAAGAAGCATATTTTGAACCGTTCCTCTTCTGGCCGAAGTTGGAAGGGAAAAGTTAGAAGGCAAGGGGATTATGTCTTGAAAGGGAAAGGTAACATTCTCAAAACATAAATCTCTTTTTATTAATCATTTCTTCAGATATACAGGTGTGCCGGAAATGGTGATCCCCGCAGGGCAGCTCCACAAGGCCTGGGCTGCACCACCGGCCATGCCAGACAACAGCCTCCCCATAACCCACTGTGTACCCTACACATCTCCCTCTTCTGTGGGGTTACAAGATAAAATGGTAGGGAAGAAGCATTGCTGTCAGCTTCTCTTTAAAGGTTCATCTCTCTAAGGTTCTCCCTACCATCGCATCATCTTCTACTGAACACTCTTAACTGTCATTGCCCCTCCTAAAAAGTGCCCGTTACTTTTCAGAGATGTGTAGAGCAGGCATTTTCAACTGGTGTGCTGCAAGAATTTTTAAAACATGCAATACCTGGCTATTTAGTCAGGGACAGTGACCTCTATTCCCTTAAGTTTTCAAGTTACAAAATAGTTCTGCTTTTGGCTCTGAATTTAAGAACATTCCAAATTGTCTACCTAATTTTCTATACATATAAGTAGGAGTAATACTTTCTGTCTATAAAAGATCCAGTTGCTAGGGTTTGTTTTATATTGGTATTTTCTAAGGTTTGGGGATATAAGTTTGTTTTACAGGTTGGCTCATGTTTATCATGCCTACAACGCTGTTTCAATTCATTTTCAGCTTGTGTGTCCATTCTGCTTTGCTTCTTCTGTGTTAGTGATATTGGACCTTAAAGAGTAAATTAGCACTGCTGATGAGGTGAAAAAAATCAAGACATATAGAACATTGTTTTTCTTCCAGTAAAGTGCTGCTGTAGCCCATCTGACACGGACTGGTTGTGTTTCTCCCCATCCAAGCATCCATTCTACATGACTTAGTTACTGAGACTCTTGTTGACTAACTGGCCTCTCTGTATTGACCCCTAGGGCTGCACAGAGCCCCATTCAAAATCACTGCTCCTCTTTAAAACATTAAAAAGTTGTGAGACTTTGTAAAATGCCCCTAATGCTTATAGAAACGACATTGTATAATAAAGTATTTTTATGACCTTTCTTTACTTTCAGTTAAACTCATGATGCATTCTTTACCAAAATGTGTAGAGGTATGCCAGTTTTCTGTTTGCCAGGATTTTCTTAGCACACATAATAGTGCATTCTTGAAGAATAGCATGTATCTAAGAATTAGGAACATTTTTACTCACAAGTAATAAAGAGCTGTGAATTGAAACATTTTCAGAATACATTTTGAAAATAGTCAAAATGATAGTGGAAATGACGACTGTGGTTTCTTTATAAAACAAGGAAGAATGTTTTAATTAGTAATCTTTATTTCCTCTAGGGTTTAATGAAGAAATTCATTCGATGTTCTACACGTGTAACTGTGGGAACTATAAAAAAATTTCTAAGTTTAAAACTAAAACTTCCAAGTTCTTATGAGGTAAGTTAATAATTTGACCCGGATCATTTTGATTGTTCTCATCTGAAGTAAAATTCTAACAAAGTAAGTAAAAATTAAATGAGCATACTTTAAATTTGTAGAAACTTTGGTTACTTTCATATAAAATTTAATTCTTAAATGTAACATTCTATTTATGTAATCTGTATTTTTTAAATTTTAACCTTCTGACTAGACTGTAATACTAATGCATTTAGTGTTTTATAATCAGAAAAGATATTTAAATAGCATTAAGTATTCTCAAAATAAGTGTATCAGTTAAATGGATTCTATTTTTGTTTTTTTATGCCAGTGTGCTTTATTTAGGGTATGTCTTTTTTGTTTTTTATTTTTAATCTGAGACCTTTGAGATCCATATTTACCAACTGTTCATTGACTTCTTTTTTAAAATGTAAAACAATATCAAAAGGGATTTTGTAAATAATGTTCCTTTTATCCCCATAATAGGTGAAGGTAGTACTGTTTACCATTAAGTAAAAGCTAGTGTTTTAATATTACATCTGCATAAATACAGTTTACCAGTTTCTTTACAGAATAGAGAAAGTGTCCTGATGCTGATCTTAGTACCATATCCTTATCTATCCCAGTGCAAAGGACTTTTTCTGTGATTTTCAGTAATATTCACTGCCCCCCCCCCCCGCCCTTATTTTGCTGCCCAGTATGTAGGGGATGATTTAGTGAAACACCTGAAAGTTGAAAATTCTGTAACAGCATTGCTTATGAATTTATATTATAGGTGAGATAAAATGAAATTATCTACTTTGTTCTTTTAAACATAAAATGGTGTCTGAAAAAATATTTTGAAGTCCATATCAGACACCATAAATCATCAAAAAACTCAATATATTTTGGCTATTAATTTGTCTAATACAATTAGAACTATACTCATTTTAGACTTAAGGTTCAAAACTATTCTCTGTCTAGCCAAACAATTATTTAAAACCTGTTTTTCTTCCCCCTTTCCACCCTTTAAATTTAATTGTCAGTTTGCTCTTAATAGCTAGAGAGCCAAAATGTTTTATTTAAAGGGACCTGATAAACATTGAATTATGCTTTGTTGATTAGTCAGTCATAGTCACATATGGGAGTTGTTTGGTTCCTGCAACACTAGAGCAAAAGTGAGCATTGATAAGAACCACGCTTTTTTGAAGTTTCATACAAAGTGAGAAGAGGGCCCTGTAAGTATTAATGCAAGTTACCAACCAAGAAGAGCAAGGAGGCCTGAGAGCCCTGGGAGACACAGGCCAGTGGCATGGTGCTAACCATGCTGTCAACTTAGCTATAGGTAACTACCAGAAATTCTCACATACCTTGAAGGCCCCATAAATCATGTCTCTACATTCATTCATTTGCCCTCTTCAAAAATAAACTAATAAGAGGAAAGTAACTCCTTCAAATCTTGGGTTGGGAAGGTGAAAGGATTCTGAGAAATGAATATAAAACTGCTGTGAAGAACTGTGAGGTTCCTACAGTTCCTTCTCATTCAGTAAGAGGCAATCACAGAAATATGTCTAAAATCTCAAAGCTTGCACAGAGATGTGGGCTAAGAAAAGTTACATTGCTTTGCAAAATTGTGTGTATGAACTTGAGGTACAGGTAGGTGGGACAAGATAAAAAATGCTTCATGGTACTTATATCTGCTTTAAATAAAAACTGTTCTTTTTAAGTAAATGAATAATATTTCTATTTTAACTATTTGAGTCTTTTTTGAAATTTGAAAAAACATATAAAACACTTATCCATTCAAAATTACTTATGTTAATGGGCCTGTAACTGTTCTTTTTAAAGTTGGATGTGCTGTGCAATGGTGAAATCATGGGGAAGGATCATACTATGGAATTCATCTACATGACAAGATGGCGACTAAGAGGCGAAAACGTAAATTGCTTTTATATTTACTTATGTGTATTTAGTTATATACCATTACATTACTCAAATTTAACAGTGTTACCTAGAAACTCAAAGAACAAACTAGCTTGGGAAAGAGAAAGGACTGGTTTCTGTTTATTGTTTCTCCCAGTTATTCCATGAAAATTAGTCCCAAGTACAAGACCAAGGTTTATGTTAAATGTAGTTTTGTTATATTTAAGGTGAGTTTAAAACCCAATTAAAATATATTCAGAGTTCTGTTAACCTCAAGACAGAGAAGATGGCACTCACGTTTTTTAAAAACCTTCATAAAATATGGGAACATTTAACTATATGGAGTAGGGGGTGAGGAGGGTGAAGATCTGCCCTGTCTAGTATGTTTAATGGTTGGTAACATCATTTTTCGGTCATGGTAGAGAGGATGGATAGGGGTTAAAATCTAGGTAAGCTTTTTCCAGGTACCTGATTTATATTGAAAGTATGAAATTAGACCAAAGGATAAGTGCGTTTGCAGCAATTTCTGATGCCAGATTAGATTATTGTGCCTTAGGCTCTAAGCAATATGGGAAAAATAATTAAAAGGAAAAACCTAAGAAAATCCAGAAAACCTAAAAGGAAAATTTTATATTTTGAACTATATCTTTGATTAGGGTTAATTAGAATGTTCAAGCATATCTCATCTGAATTATATGTAACATTGATATTAGGGAAATTTTAGGGACTAGGGATTATAAGGCTAGTATGTAGTGGTAAGGAACGTAGTAGTGATACTAACAAACTTTCATCATAACCTGATTACATGAATAAACTTTGACTGCAAGGTTGTGACTTCCATTTAGCCCTTAAGATTTTGTGGTATTTACGGTAAAAAAAGTCATATTTTTTAAACTCTGTAATTTTAACCTCTCTATAAGCTAGGTTTTATTATATTTTCTTATGAAAATATAAATTAATCATAAAAACAATCACAAAGTTAAGAAATGTAACTTCACACAAAGATAGCTAATACAGAGTCCAGATATAATGAAGGTACAGTGGTTCAAAAGCATACTTATATTAAATGTAAACATCTATGGAACTTCTATGAAACCTCAAAATATCTTTTTTTGTGTGCCATTCAATGGGCAGGACATTCGGCTATTTTTAAGAAGAAATGTCTTGGTGTGATATAATAATAAATGAAGCACCTAGCTTCTTAGTCACAATTTTTTTTTTCTATTTGAGTCCCACATGGATCAAGCTTCCTTGTGAAACTGAATTATCAAGACAAGGAAGAAAAAATTGTTTTATTACTAGTCACCAACTAGTTGTGTGCCCTTGAACTCAACCTCTCTAGAGCTATTTTTAAAAACATCTAATTGTCTTTGTATCGGTAAATACTTGCCTTTATATGACATTTCCTAGTTCTTAAGTGATACTGCATACATCACCCTCATTTAATCCTTCCAACTAAAACGTTTCAGGTAGCAGGTACAGATTACAGAAACAGTCATTACCCAGCACTGTTGGCCTCTATTCTAGATAGTGTAATATTACACATAATATTAATATCGTATTGGTACAATTTTAGCTTTCTTTGGTAGTTCTTTGGGCATTTCAGTATGTGCTTGAAACCATCATTATGAATGGGTTTGCCCTAAGCTTGAAGATATGTAAGTAGCCTTCCCCTGCAAGGCTCAGTTAGCACTCGCCGTCCTTCTCAAGATTCCCTGCCCAAAGGTCACCCACACTGCCAGTTATTTTAAGGTCAGAGAAACAACTGATGCATTGAAATTGTTATTAATAGACTATAAATTAAATCAGCCTTTGCTACAATTATGATTTTGATTATACATTTCTGAGTAGTTTGAAGTCCTTAGTTGTTTAAGACATATTTTAACAAAAGTTAGTTCAAAAAACTGTTCACTATCATATGATTTACCATTCACGTAAAAATTAAACCAATAAGTAAAGAAATTACCACATTTTACATTTAGTGCAATAGTGAAGTAATGTACTAGCCTGTTTTATCTTTTTTTCCAGCATGAAAAACCTGTATTTGTTTGTTACCCTCCTCCAACTTGTTTCTGCCGTAGCCTTCACAATTTCAATCCTTCCAAGACTAAGAGTTCCGTTTTTCCAGTCTCTCAAATCAAAATCCCTGAAGTCAACCCTGATTTTTTTTTTATCCATCTTTAGCAAATACAGTGACCTCTACACTATACATATAATACTATACAGTATACAGGATAATCAGAATCCCATTGTGTTGTAACAGCTTCACTCTACCACCCTGATCCAGGCCACCATTAGCCATCCTCCCGAATCCCTACCAAAGTCTCCTACCTGGGCTCAATACTTCCACTCCTGCTGCCACCAGTTTCCCACTCCTGTCTTTGTCCGATGTAGCAGTTAGAACATGTTAAAACATGTCACTTCTCTGCTTTGAACTCTACAGTAATATCCAGTAGCATGTAGACAAAAGCCAAAATCCTTCCAGGGACCTACAGATACAGACCCACATGATTTTCCCCAGAATCCTCTCTGATCTTACCCCTTTTCTCTCCCTCTGGCTCCCTGCACTCTGGCCTCACTGGCCTCAGTGTTTTCTGTACTGTGGCCAGGCTTGCTCTGGCCTCCCCAAGTGTCACCTAACTTGCTCCCTTTACCCCTTCACTCACAAGAGTTATGCATCTGCATCACCACCTCAGTGAGGCTCCTCACTTTGCTTAGTATTACAATTCCCTCTCTTAATCTGGCACTCTTAATCTTTAAAAATCAAAATTTTAGCCCAGGCAGGTGTGGCTCAGTGGACTGAGTGCAGGCCTTCGAACCAAAAGTGGACAGTTCAGTTCCCAGTCAGAGCACATACTGGGTTGTGGGCCAGGTCCCCAGTAGCAGGGCGCACGAGAGGCAATCACACATTGATGTTTCTCTCCCTTTCTCTCTCCCATCCCCTCTCTCTAAAAATAAATGTTTTTTAAATAAAATATTTTTTAAAAATTTATATGTATATATATTTATTCATTCCTGGACATTGTATTTTATTTAAAAATAAATTTAATGAATTTATTGGGGTGACATTGGTTAATTAAATTATGTAGGTTTCAGGTGTACAGTTCTATAGTACGTCATGTGTATATTGTATTAAGTGTCACCACCCCAAGTCATGCCTCCTTCCATCACCATTTATCCCTCCTTTACTCTCTTCTACCTCCCGTCACCCCCTTTTCCTTTGGTAATCGTCATGATATTACCTGTGACTATGAAGTTTTTCTTTTCCCTTTGCTTAATCCCTTCACCATTTTCACCCAGTCCTCCAACCCCCACCCCCTTAATTCTATTTTATGCCTTCCATGGTATTTCATACCATCTGACGTACTATGCCTCTTGTTTATGTTTATTGTTTGCCCTTCAACTAAAATGTGGTATGAGGGCAGGGGTCATATTTGTTAACTGCTGAGTCTTAGCACTGAGAGCAGTGCCTAATACTCAATACTCAATAAATATTTGAAGAGTAAATTGAATGAAAATTTTCTTTTATAAGGTAATAGTTATGTAAAATATATTCTAAAGATTATTCCATTTATTTGAATCTCAATTTCTCAGTTGATTTTGTTAAACAAATTTAAAATTTTTGCACTTGTTCCAATTAATTATGAGTCATTAATTAATTGGAACATGGTAGTAATTGGAACATAGTAGTAATTAATTAATTCTGACCATTGAAATGAGTGGACAAATTAGCAATAAAACAATCATTTCTTGATTAAAACCCTACTAGCATTCACATACTTTCCCATCTCTGCAAGAGATGCCAGGTGCCTGAAAACTCACAGTACTTTACCCTCTGGCATTGCTAACTGGCTCAGCCTGGAACTGGGGACAGCTTCTCTCCTAAACAAATATCTACCTTATGGTTCTTTCACTTGCTTTTAGTACATTTTGATGTTAAACAGTTCAGTCCACTGGGATTTGTTTATTTACACACACATACCTACAACAAGGCTAAGACTCTAACTTAATCTAGTTGGGTTTTTTTTTTTTTGCCAGAAATAAGGTTTATTTAATAATCTATGATTTTCCTCATTGTTTTGAGATGTCACTGTTATCTATGCATATGTATCTGCATGTATTTGTATACACACAGACCCACAGATGTGTGTGCACCCTCATATGTGTGTGTGTGTGTGTGTTTCATTCCTGGGCATTGTATTTTGTTCTTCTGAGCGGGTCTTATTTCTACACCAGCATTACACATTATATAGCTTATAAAAGTTTGATCATATAACACCTCTACCTAAAACCTCTCAATTATCCATTTCCTGTGGAATAAATTTGAATACAGTCCAAACTTACAAGGCAAACAATTGGATCTTCTAGGTTACTTTATGCTGTGATTTAGTATGTTATGGCAAAGCTGCTTCTTAATTCTTTTAAAAATTTTGTTGGTTTTTTCCCATTTATATTTTCAGATGAGCTTGAGAATAGGATTGTGATTGCCATTGCCCTAACATTAAATTTCTAGGTTGTTTGGCTAGAATTGGCATCTTTGCCATTTGTTATTCTGTTCAGTGTGGTGGGGTATCTCCTCACATGTCTACCCTCTTCTCTGTCTCTGTCTCTGAATAGACAGTTCCTTGTTGGATGCCACCTCTGCCCCTCTGAGTCTTTTGCCTCAGGCAAGGACACTTCATATTCAGATCACCTCTACACCTTGTCCTGTTTTTAGGGTCCTAGGAAGAATCTCGGAAATCGATTTTGCTTCCATTTCTCCAGAGCGAGACACAGTCCTGTATGGCTCAGCACCACGCCTCTCCTTTACCTTTGGGCAGCTCTACTTTAAGCTCAGCCTACTTTTTACGCCCCTGCTCTTTCTGGATCTTTGGCTTCATTGTGATGCATTTTTGAAAAGACTTTTATCTTTAGGAATCAAATATCTGGTCAATCTTAGCTTACTCTTAGAAATTTTTCAATCCATAACAATATGGCAGCCTCATGATTGTTATCCACAAGATTGCCTTTTTAATATTGGTTCATCTTTTCCTTATTAGTGGGATAAAATACACCTTTAAAAAGAAACAGTGCTTGTCTATATGACTACAAATCACTTGGAGATCTTGGTAAAATAATAGATTCTGATTCAGTATGTTGGGGGTAGGAACCAAGAATCTGCATTTTTAACAATTTCCCAGGGGATGCCAGTGCATCTGACCTGTGAACCATCCTTTGAGTAATAGGATTTTCAAGATGTTATTTATGACCTGGCTTACCCTGTGGCTTCCACATCTATGAATTGAGAATGTAGAATTACAGAATTAGATCTCAGTTTGGAAGGGACTTCGTTGACTAACTACCAAACATGGATCCTGTTTATAATATCCATGCAATGTTCATCACATTCTTTGAAACATAAATGGAATTATATGTATTATTCTGCAACTTCTCGTTTGATAATGTCTTGCAGAGAATCAGTAAATTTTGAAATAATTCTATGTAATGAGTTGATAGCATTCTATTTGTAGCATAATTTGATTAACACACACCTCCTTGGTTTTCTGACATTACAGGCAGTGAGATACAATTCCAGTACATACATCTTTTTGCACATGTGCAAGTATACTCATTGGCTAGATTCCAGATATGCATTTACACGAGTATGTGTGTTTTAAATTTTGATAGGTACTAACTGATTGTCTTCTAAAAAGGTTTTAGCAATTTATAATCACACCAGTAATGTATAAAATAGTGCCCATTTTCTGATATCCTCACCAATACTGATATTACCAGTTTTATATTTCTTCTGAGACGTTTCTTTTTATATCCATTGCTGTGTTATGTTTTACATGTAATGTTTGTCTCTTACTGACTTCTAGGAGCTCCTTATGTATTCTGGATGTTAATCTTTTGTTATGTATGTTGCAACTATTTTCCTCCCACCTGTGTCCTGCTTTCTAGTTGTTGACTCAGTTTTTTGATCCTTAAAATTTAGTAAACACTAGCTATCTTGAAAAATTTTAGTAAGAATTAATGAGATATTCCAAAGCACTTAGCAGTGTTGCCTGGCATAATAAGTATTATTAATAGCTTATGTATGTTAGCTTTTATTATTATAATTCCTCTCACAGTCTTATCCAAGAGCTTACTGTTAATATCTCTGTTCAAGCCTTAGTTTTCATCATGAACTCACGTTCTTCCTGCTCACCTCTTCTTGGGTAGGTTCATTACCCACTCTTGGTACAGCCCCTCTTTTCCAGGTGGTCCTGGCCAGTTGTATCTTCCAGCAGCCCTGCCAGTCCATATCTAAAGTGACTGTGTCATGTTTGTCTTGCTTTGCTTTATTCAAATGATCAAGCAGTTTTAGAAAAAGCAAACATCTATCTTGATTGATATCAAAGAGATCAGTGGGGGGAAAATAGTGTAAGTGTCTCTTTCCACCTTAACTCTTTACACTCATTACATGCTATTTGGGACTTGCACAGTTAGACCAAGTTTGAGAGACGGAGTGCTCAGACTCTTCAGAGAGAGAGGGGAAGGTTGCCAAGGAGAGTAGTGCTGTGTTTTATGGCATGTCAATGAGCCCTGCACAAAAATGCAAGGACTAACTTTTGGAGGGAAAACTGCTGACATCTTTGGGGAAATGGAAAATTTCTAAAATTTTCTTTAAAAGGCTGCCAAATATATTTGTTTTAATTATTGCTTACTTAAGTATTCTTTCAAACTGTATCTTTTTAAAAGCTGCTCTGGGATATTGGATTTATCCTGGTTAATTTACACCTTCCGTTTTATGTATTTTTTTTCCATTTGGAAGATATAGGCAATGTTGAATTCACATATGCATAGTTATGTTAGCATAATGTTGAATATTATGTTTAACATAATACTGAGAAATCAATATTTGGGAATGATTTTTTAATATGACTGGTTAAACTGCTAAGAGTTAGTTTACAAATGAATTTACTCAATAGTTTTAAAATATGTTCATTCATTGATTTACTCATAAAACATTTTTCAGTGCTGCTGTATGCCAACTAGTTCTGGGCCTTAACTCTTAAGATTGCGAATGTAGATAAATTACAGATTCAAGGAGCTCACAATCTGATACTATTAAAATATAATGGAGACTAAGAATCTAATCTGATCAATGTGAAGAACAGAATGTAAAACAGAAACTGAATCCCTTACAGGTGGAGGCAGATTGCATGTCCCTGTCAGTGTGCTGCTAGCCTTAAACAGGGATACTTTCAGGAGGCAGTTGAAGAGGAGATCCAGACCAGATTACTCACAGGAAGGGATAGAGGAAAGAGGGTACCCCTCCTGGACGGGAGAGGCGAGGGTTTTCCTAGGAATTAGTATTGAAGAGAAAATGGAAAGGATGGGCTACCATTTTGGTAAAATATTTGCAGAATATTAGCAAAACTCTTACTTAGATACCAAAATTACTTCAAGCTAAATTTTACCAGTCACTAAGTTCTTAAAATCAACTTTTAAAAAAGCAACTACCATATTTTGGAAAGTGTTTACTTAAAATTAATCATGTTGACTCATGTTTGACGTTAAAATATTTTAAATTATCAGTTTTAAATATGTATCCAGTTGTGGATGCCTCTTATCTGATGAGTTCATCTCCTCCGCAGTTTCGGTGTCTGAACTGCTCAGCTTCGCAAGTCTGCCCTCAGGATGGCCCTTTGTATCAGGTAAGAGGCACTCACGACTGTACATGCGGCCCCAGGATGCTGCCCCGAGGGGACTGCTTCCACCCCACACTCAGGTGCCTAAGACGTGTGACTCTGGGAAACAAACACCTGAGCTATAAAACTTCTTTTCAAATTAAGTCCCCAAAGGTTTCCATTATTTTAGTGCTCTTGAAATAGCTATTTAATTTTACTAACCTAAAAATGAAATTATAAATGTTAAGGCCATAGTTTATGAGTTAGGAATTTTTAATAATTACCAGTTTTATCCCTTGAGAACTCTCTGCTCCATGCTAAATACTTCTTTGTGTGTTATTTTTTAAAATGAACTATTTACCCACGAGTGAAAGATAAAAATGCCAGATGAGGTGAAGCTGAAAAATGGCAGCAGCTAAGTGTAATTACGAACTTGCTCACTAGGCCCTGCCCTAAGGACTTCACTGAGTTACTGCTTTTAATACAGAATGATGGTGACCAAACTTGATAATGCACCAAGAAAACTTGAACATGCATCTGAGGAAAGTTTATCTCATAAAAATACATATTAAAAATTTGGAAAACAGAAGGGACTAAGGGTAGTATAGTAAGAATTACTGTCCATAGATGATCTGTGGATGATCCATAGGATTTCTTTAAATCTATGGATGAATCATAGCACTTCTTTAAAATCCTCATTGTTTGGAATATTACTCAGCCATAAGAAAAGAACAAAATACTACCATTTGCAACAGCATGGATAGACCTAGAGGGTATTATTATGCTCAGTGCATAAGTCAGTCAGAAAAAGGCAAAACCATATGATCCCAGACATGTGTAGAATCTAAAGACCAATGTAAACAAACAAAAGAGAAATAGACTTAGAGAGACCGAATTGGTGATTGCCAGAGGTCAGGGGGTTTAGGGGATTGGGTGAAAGAGGTGAAGGGATTGGGAAGTATAAATTGGTAGTTACAGAACAGTCACAAGGATATAAAGTACAGCGTAGGGCATATAGTCAATAATAATATTGTAATAACTGTACAGTGCCAGGTGTGTACTGGAAATATCAGGGGAACACCTTGTAAAGTATGTGATTGTCTAACCACTATGCTTTACTCCTGAAATGAATATAATATTGAATGTAAATTGTAATTGAAAAGGTTTTTTAAAGAACAGAAAAAAAGAGAAATAACTCGTACTTCATGGTCATACCCTTGAATTTACACATCTTAAAACTGTATTCAAAATTTGGGGGTCTAGGGGAAATACCTTGGTTTTTTATTCTAAACACTATAAATATACTTTTCGAAAGTTGAGTTCTTAATAACACTGTGCTGAGGCATCCCTGCTTCTTTTGGAAATGTAAAAATATAACAACTTTCTTGGAGTACGCTTTCTTGTGTGAGAGTATTTAGCAAGAAGGCTTTTAAAATGTGTATGCTGTTTGAACCAGCAGTTCCACTTATAGGAACCAGTCTGTGAGTGGTGGGTAAGCAGGGATGCAGGGACTAGACTGTATAGATCCTTGGGTCAAAATTAATTTGTAATAGCCAAAAAAGGGGGGGAAGCATAAAGTGAAAAATACAGCAAAAGAGATTTGTTTGATAGATTTGTTTTATAACTTATAATTCACTTATGTAAAGGCATTATGCATAGCCTTTAAAAATAATCATATTAAGTAGTACAGAAATAAATTTATTTTTAAATGGACAAAATTATTTACCAAACAATATGTGTAGCATGATTGCAGTTTTGAGAGACAAGTAAGTACATATATAAAAAGATTAGAAAGATATAAACTAAAATGATGATGATAGTTATCTTTGGATGGCGTCATTTAAATGATTTTACTTTTGTGTGTGTTTGCTTTTCTGTGTTCTCCAAATCTACATTAAAGCCAAGTTAGTTTTATGATAAATAACTTGTTTTTTAAGAAAAACAGTATGCCAGTGTTAATTTTAGGATTTTCTAACATCCCATTTGAAATATATACTTCGGAAGTATCTGTTCTTTATTTTAGAACCTCATGAGACCGAGGCCTAGCAGCAGCTCTACAAAATGGAGGTTCAGTCAGTGCGGTCACTTCTCCACCCTAGGGGGAGTGAAGTGCCGTGTTTCCTTATGTCAGAAGGCAAACTGAAATGCAAATAGAACTCGAAGTTCATCTTAATTTCCAGTACTATGACACATTTCAATAAAAGTATTAAGCTTCTTATGTTGCCATAGAACCAACACATGGTTACTTGGAGGAGCAATCAAAACCATCTTTGGTCCACAACTGAGAAAACCTGAAGCACTTAACCAAGCCATTCCCTCTCTACCTTCATGCTGGTAAAATCAGTGATGGAATTTTCTATATATTTTGAACAATCTCTAGAACAAATGACTTAACTATTTGCAGAAAGTGTGCAGATTTAGCAATCAGGAGTGGAAAACAAAGGTAGATTATTGATGAAGGGCAGGCTGTGGGCTGGCCTCTGGTAGGATGGGAAGCAGTGAAGTCAGTGTTGGATGTCTGGGTTGCAGTCCCCAAATCTGGCTGAGCTTCAGGAAACCCAGGGAGTTTTATAAAATGTATATTTCTGTGCCCCACTCCCAGCTACTCTGATTCAGGGAGAACAAAATAAAGTTTAAAATAAAACCAAGCAATCAAAATTTACACCAAAATCAATTTAAAGCATGGAAACCCTGAGAGACTGGGACTTTTACTCCAGTCCCTAGAAAACTGGTAGTGGGACAACCTTGTTTCTTCATCTGGGAGGAGCCAGTCCTAGGAATTCTCATTCCCACCCTCCAGTCCCATCCTGGGCTGAATGGTAAGAGATTCCAACACTGAGTTTTCTCAGTTTGTAACCTAGTTATGATAAGTAATGAAATGGTCATTTTCAAGATTGCAGAATCTCAGACTATCCTTTTCATTCATATGAAAAAAAAATGGTTCTCTGTCCTGGATTTTTACATTCACCTACACTGAGATGAAGGAGAAACAATCCATGGCCATTTCAGTCCTTTCTTGGTTTCATAAAAGTAGCTCCTCAAAATTTCATTTTAAAAGGAGGAATCTGCAGCTTTAAGAAAAGGAAGACAATTGGCACTCCAGACCCTTTCTGACTTGGGCTCTATACATGTGGTAAAACAGAGGGTAAAAGCAGACCCAGAAGTAGCAGCGTAGCATATACCATTTGTCTACAGGCAGCTGTTTCCTCTCTAGTGCCATATGTTGATGTATGACTTTTTTTTTTTTTTTACATAGAAGGACAATATGAACCATCCAAGTATATAAGAATCAAATCTAAATATGTAATAGTATCAACTGATTATTGAAAGGAGGCAGTAAACCTAAATGTTTATGTAACAGATTAGCTGCTTGTTTTTCTAAAAAGAAAACAAGTGTCAAAACTGACTAAAAAGAAATAGATTCATAGAGGGAGGTGTCTGTTAACTTGTGACTCAGCGGGCTCTCAGGAACCACAGCTCTGTTGGAATGCAGCCTACAGACTCGCCTTGTTCAGCCCCACGAGGTTGATGACCGAACACCGTTAAGGAGGGCGTTATGGCTTTCAGTCCTCCACAGGCCCTGCCTCTCCCTCGGTGTTACGTTAGTAGTTTTCACCTGTGCAACCAGTGTGATGTCTCTAGGCCTTTGAACTTGGCCTTTGTTGTATACTATGGAAAACTTTACTGATTCTAGAAAAACAATGGCAATTAAAAATTACAGAGTTTTCATAGATATAACAGAATGGGGGTTACCAGAGGGGAAGTGAGGTGGGGGAGAGCAAATTGGGCAAATGGGGTCAAATATATGGTAATGGAGGGAAACTACAGACTTTGAGAGGTGAGCACGCAAGAGAGTATACGGTAGTGAATTATAATGTTGTACACCTGAAATTTACACGTTATTAACCAATGTTACCCCAATAAATTTAATTAAAAATATATAGTTTTAATGTCACCTTGTTGTAATCACCAGTATCAGCAAATATTGGAAATTATAACCCCTCATTCTTAAAATCTTTTGTATATAATCTGTAGTTTTTTTATAAACACAGTCTTATTCATCATCTGTTTTTATTTTATAGTCATATCCCATGGTATTGCAGTATCGACCAAGAATTGATTTTGGTTAAACCAAGGGGCCTAGATCCCACTGAGATGAATCCTGCACTATTTGTTTACTCTGGACAGATTGCACAGCGAACGGTGTGTGGACTAGAGGGACACAACCAGACTTTCAGCATGCAAATAAGGCCATTGTCTGTCTCTGAATTGTCCGTCACATTTATGTTATTTCTCTTACGAGCAAACCAAGTGCCATTCTGCTACTGAACCACCTGCATAAGTTATTTGTGCCGTCTCCCCGTGTGCAAGTCCCGGTCGGTGTCAGTGAGATGTGCGCCACGATGCAGCCCTCGGAGTGTTCTGCTTGCCTGTTCCAAGACTGTTCTGATGTTTGGTTACACTAGTAATACGGCTTAATCTTTGTGGTGTTGCAGTTTTCACATACTATTTCATTAATTCTTGTTTAAATAGTGTATTGTACAAAAAACTAGTAATTATTATATCTTGAAATTATTTTGTATGGGAAATATATTTAGAAAAGTGGTTTCTGAGCCACTGTCCTGTTCTCAGTAAGATTTTTGTTTGCAAAATAGTTCATCTTTGGGGAAGAATTCCACTTAGTCTTTGAGCGCATTGTAATTGTAGGCAGTTTAAATCATCTGTCAGTGTAGTCTATCAATTGCACAAGGAGAGGGCATGTTAGCCCTCCAGATTGAAAATGTATGTGATTCTTGGAGAACTGAAGTTCGATTCACAATCATTCAGAATGTTGGCAGCTGATCACATTGACTTCTAAGGAAGTTAATGCGTAAGTAAGGTCAGTCTCCTTTCATAATGCCTTATGACTAGAGGGTGCTGCTTCACGAGCCGTCACTGAGTAGCTCATTTTACGGATGCGTCTCTATACCGTTGCTCTCATTTAATGAGTACAGTGTTGCTCTTTTTCCTTTGGCCTTAGGTATGTGTCACTGTGGCATGCAGAGGGTTAGGATGATTTTAAATATTAGGATCTTTAGAGCAGATAACAATAGCTATTTTATGGATCTCAAAAGTCTCAAAGCAATTGTAGATTAAAACTGTTAGTTACCTATCACATTTCCAAAACATTTGCATACAATAGAATAAATGCAGTGTAGTAAATATGCTAACCAAAAGTAATAGTCTGAGGATATTTCATTTTAGATCCTGTAGCAATCGGGGGAAATGGGATTACTGTTTTATACATAAGTTCATTAAGGTCAGAGCTGTGATGATGTCCTTGATTTTGCAGTTTTGTTAAGTCTTCCATTCATTTTGAGGTTATTGTGCAAGTCAGAGAAAGTCTTGTTACCTTAACTTATATAAAGAGCTTCATTTTAAATGTTTTAAAATTTATAGTTGTTTTCAAAAAACTTTGGAAATTGTTTTATTAATTGCTTCAAAACAAGTTAACCTCTGAAACTTAGGGAAAATCTTGAAAAGTAGGAAAAATATTTTAGAAATCTGACATGAGCACAACCTGTGTGTTACACACATAGTTTTTATACTGTATACCTGGTGGATGTGCTACATTTTCCAGTAAAATGTATCACAAATTAATGCCTTCTGACTCAAAATGCTCCTTAGAAATAAAACATTGTACAACGCTAAGAAACACATACAAAATACAGCTAAATCTTGATGCATTTCACAGTATAAAAAGCTGAAATACCATAATTCTCTTTTCCACATATCTTTGTTTCAAGTCAAAAAGTCTACATTAAATTTTCTGTTGTTTTTGTTCTGGCTTATATGAAAAAGGTTACGGCAATTTCATTATGTGTGTTTGGAAGGGCTCACAAGCGGAGTTTAAAAGGCAGATTTTTTTATTCAAAATCTTCAAAAATGGTTGGAATAGACCATTATCGTCACACTCAACCAAAAACTAAATTTACTCTTTAGCTACAGAAATTATTTTATCCTGTGAAATCTAATTCCCTACATGCCTAAGAAATTTTAAATTTTATTATAAATTTGACATCTAGATCAGTGATTAAAGTAATATTTTACATATGGAAGTTAACTTTAATTGACTTAATGCAAAATGCATTGAGAGTGCATTTTTAAAGCCACTAATGAGACTTGGATGTTTTTGGGTCCCTAGCCAAAACATACAACCTTAAGTGAATTTTATATATACAGTCTCTTTAAATTTATCCCGTTGCTTCATCATATGTAATTTCACTATTTTCCAAGGAAATATAAGGTCTGGCACAAATAATGCCCCTTTTTTATTACAAAATCTTTTATTAAAAAATCATAAGCATGTAATTCTATAACATAACAATATTACATTCAAGCATACCATGTGACATTTTAGGTGAAATGTTCAGATTAAAACTATAAATTATTACACTCCTGTTATTACCTACTGACCACACTCAAGCAGGCCTTACTTCTGCCAGACCCTGTATATAGGAAGCAATTATGGAATTTATAATAGTTTTAGTGCATTAACATTTTTACTGAAATGCAGTGGAATATGTGCCAAAACATGTGAAAAAGCCTGACATAAAGGACATCATTTGTCATTTGGGGGAAGGTACACATTTTATGGTGGTCCTGAGTAATTCGATATTGCTGCTGGAACCACAGACTTCTTCAGCTGACCTCTTTTGATACATTCAACTATGATTTTCTAAGTATGGGACCTCTTTCATATCTAGTAATACACTAAATTTCCAGCTAAATATTCCCTAAGTTAGGTTATGGAATTTGCAAGAAACCAGGTATAGAAAAAATATGCAGACAACTTTTGTGGTTAGTTTTATAAACTTAGGGTGCTAGTAAAATACTCTTTATATAAATAACCTATAGAAATAATAATCTAAATCTGCAAAATTGGAGAAGAAATAAAACTTACATTTTTGTTTAATGTGTTGCTTCTTAGATGTAAGAAACTGAAAGAACTTTACTTCCATAAAAGATTTTTGTAATCTGTTTTCTCTGCCTTAGATATATTAGTTAAAGGGTCAAGGAACCTTGGACATCAAGGCCTGTTATTTACAGACATCACTTTAACTGAAGTAAATCGCATCAGTTAATAGAAAAATCAGAATATGGCCTTTTCTCTAGATTAACAAAATGCTTTCAAGAAGTACAAATGAAACTAAAAGGCTCATTGATGGGGTACTATTAGCCCATTCTGTCTGGGGTACAGCTGTCTTGGGTGATGTCTTTCTACTTTTAGAAAAAGTATATTATTTCATTATTCATTGAAAATCTGTCCCATACTAATATGCCACATTTTATAAATGTAATGAGTTTGCTCAACTATCTTATACTCAAATGTAATCTAAATTTAAATGATTCTTTAAGATAAAAAAGTGTGTTACATAATATTATAAACTGTTTAGCTTTATTGAATTATTTAAGAGAAAGTGCCTCATTGCAGCTGTGCATTTCTGTTTTGGATTTACTGCACACATTTTGAGTTATCTGTACCTGTCTCCTATGAATGATTTCATACCTAAATAGGCACTTGTAAGTTAATCACTTTTTAAACGATTTTCATGAGGAAATACATATCACCAAAGACATTTTACTGCTAATTAATAACCATGTTGGAGAGACGGTCTTAACAGTTTTGGAGGCTGGAAATTTTTAGATTGCAATTTAGTTTTACATTAGGCAATAACCTTGAGTAATTGCTAAGTTATCGCCAAAGAAAGGCTTTAAAATGAATTTTCATGATGAGATTAATCAAATGCAGGTTTTTCTTATAATTAGCAGAGCACACTTTTTTCCAAATATGTGTCTTTTTTTCCCAGCACTATTTGACAGATCTTAAGAAATCTCAAAGGTGAGAAGGAGATAAACACAGCAAATAGCCTTTCTCTGGATGAAAAGTGGGAAAAGGACATACTTTGAAAAGAAAATTGAAATGCATATTTTAAATTCTAATTTGAGGAGCTTCTTACTTATTCCATGGAGGCAGTAGAAACAAACATTACATTTAATTCGTTCCTAGGTTCTTAATAATATGAGACATTTTATTAAAGACAGACTTTGGTAAGAGTGCTCCCATGTTCATTTGTATAGAAAATACTACATTCTGTTGGACTCACATAAATGCTTTTCTTTTATTCAAAAGCAGAATTTTCATAAAGGCCTGTTTTAAGTGTCTGCCCTGTTCTTTGGTAATTATTGTTACTAGAATTCAACCACACAGCCAAATTTGGCAAAATGGGTCTCAGATCCAGAGCATCTGTACATCTGATTGGATACTCTCCTTACACCATTCTCCTTGGGAGTCATGCCATGGGCCACCTTAAAGATAAAATTCGTTCTGATAGACCACTGCGTTAACCTCCTCAGAGAGTATAAAAATGGGTGGACTCTGTTATGTGCTGTGGTTTATCATGAGGCATTTTCTAGCAGGCTAAATAAGCTTTACACATTAAGATAGTGGTTATAGGAGAATTGCAAAAATGAATGAGTTTGCCATAACTTTAGTTTTCTGGATTAGAAACACAAAAACATGAAATGGTATTGCTATTTTAAGATGTATCTCTCTACAATAAGGAACATGTCTGCTACATCTGGCTTATTAATGATTAAGAATATTAAATATACCAGAGACTGAAACCCCTTGAAAGCACAACATAACCAACCAATTCTGGATTTACTTGATATATCTAGTTCAGTAATATTTTGATGGAAAAACATCAGAAAAAGTTCATTAAAATGCACTTAAATATATATTACAAGGTTTTCACAGGTTTTTTTTTCTTACCACAATGACATTTTCCCAGTAATTTAAAAGTGATTCTCTTCCTAATGTAACATAGTTTTCACAAATAGTATGTTTATTTGCTATTCTTACTATGCTTTCAAACAATGAAAATGCTTGAGCACTTCCATTTTAGAAAGTTATGAAATTAAATTTAATTTTAAATGCTTATTAAAATGTGTCTGTATACCTGTTAATGCCCCTTTTTCTAGGATCCAACACTGAGACATTGTTCAGGAATGCTTTTTAATTTCAACTACCTTTAAACCTAGAGTCAAGTGAGACTGATACGTTAACACTGGGTCTAGTTTCCTTCCATCCTTCAGAGCTTCATGGGTAAGAAACTAACCTGGTACAAATGCAGACGAAGTGTTTCTGGGCCTCGTAGAGACAGCAAACAGATTATTTATCCACAGACTTCTCGTCGGTCCACTGGAGCAGGAGTTCTACACGTTAGCAATGTGATAGGATCAGGCTGATAGTGTGTGGGGTCAGTTTTCTTTTGCTGTATTTTTTAGAATGGGGATGGGGCCTAAGTGTCCTTATGAAGCTGTAGTTACGACAAGAGCCTGTGAGGGGCACCAGTGTCTGCTCGTCCCTGCATCGAGCAACACAGCAGTGAGCACCAGTTTTAACAGAGTGGCCCTCATGTCACACACAACCATCATAGAACATACTGTACAGTTGTGTTGCTGGTTTTCCTTTGAAATATAAAATATTTTAAGCTTTTTTTGTCAAAAGTGGTAACATCTTAATACAAATAAAAACCTTTTTGTGGTTGTAAGATTTCGCTTATAAATCATTCAAATTGAAGTGAAAGATTACCAGGTCATTGTTAATGACTTAGTCTATTAAGAATATATGTATTTTTGTAAAGGAAAAGCACTTGTAGATATTTAATCAGTACAAGATATATGTCTGTTTTGCAGAAATAAAATGCTGCTTAGAGATTCTCTTTAAATATTTTTTATTTTTGTGCTCAGATGTACTTTCTGTTGGTCTCTGGAATGTCCTGTACAAGCTGTGTGGTCGCGCTGTGGGGCTAGAGAACTTCTGTTTTTAAAATCTGGACGTAGCCAAGTATCCTTGACCATGTTAAAAATAGTATCTTTGTTATTAAAAAATTGATTGCATAATTTATTGTCCGTCATCCTTAATGGTTGTAGACTGTAACTTCCATTTAAAAGTATCCTCCATTAGGTATCACTGTAGCAAGTTTTACTGAAATTTGAGTTTTGAGATTATAAACATTTTCTAAAGTGTTTGAGCCGTGTGGGATGGCAGGGCCCTCACGTGACACTTTGTGCGCTCGCGCACCCGCTGCAGAGCAGGTTCTTGCTTTGTTAGCTCCGTCACATCCAAATAACCTCCCAGATGTGATCGGGGCTCCGAGAAAGGCCCTAGAGGACTGCAAGACCACTTTCTTCAGCCAGTTACATAGCAACTTTGTTTTTGGCAGTACCTTCCTGCATACTTGCCTCTGGAATTCTAGGCAGGCTAAAGAAGACTTCCAAGTCAGGAGGGTTGCCGGGATTCATCTCTCTGCCCGTTGTTCCTTAGATGCCTGAAGCTTTGTCTCATACTAGTGGTGCCAACTTGTCCAGGCTTTCTCCCTTTGCGGTAACACTTGGCACTCTTATTGCAACCACAGTAATTAATGTTTGTTGGTCTTCCCATTAGATGGTGAGCTTTCAGAGGGATATTGACAGTGTGGCATATCTCCACCTTCACATGACACATTTGCATAGTGACTGGCACCCATGGAACTATTGAAAGAATCTAGATTTCAGGAAGCAGAGGCAATGCTGGCGATTGTCTCTAACAAGTCTCCTGGTGTCATACCCCTTCTCAAAATCACATCCATCACATTGGATTAGGGCCCCACCCTCATGACCTCATTTGAAGGCTGTATCTCAAATTCAGGTCACATTCTTATATACATGGGAGTTAGAGGTTCTGCATATGAATTTGGGAGGACATTACTGAGTTTCTAACAGCCATGGGGTGCCTCACAGACCTGGGTTCAAGGGCAGGTCGTTCTGCTGTGTAATGGGCAATTAACCTGGCTGAGTCCGTTTCCTCATTGGTGGAGCATGAACAGTAACAGCTTACCCACAGGTGTGTGGAGGAGTGAGATGCCGCAGGAAGTGCCCAGAGCAACGCGGGCAAGAACAGCAAAGGACGGCACACTTGTTTCCATCTCTACGCACTGCAGCCCAAGTAATTATGCATTATGCTGGTTTGCTGTGAGCTAAAATACTGTCAAATAACTCCAGTTTTGCTTTCCTAGAGCAATTCCACTCGCATGGTAGCTCATAAAACTCATTCCCACTGAATGTGCTAATGCAGAAACGACCCAGCACAGGGTCTAGCACACAGTAGGCACTTTTACAAGACGCTTCGCTTTCCCCCACACCCATTTAATCATCAGAATGCACCTATGGGGCATTCTTAGCCCAATTTCAGTGATGTAAAAGTGAATCTAAATAACTTACCATCACCAAGAGGTAGCCGGGTCCCAACACAGTCCCTTCTTTTTCCAAGGGCGATTCTGTCCTCAGGGGCACTGCCTCCCTCTTCAGCTTCGAGCTCCAGAGAAGACTGCTAAGGCCCTCCTGGCCCCTGAGGGCTGGATCGCATGGAAGATAAACACTTGGCAGCCAGTGTGGGCCTAAGGTAGCACAGCATGCATGGCACTGCTGTGGCCGACACACTGTTCTGAGCACCCACTGTACACCAGGCGCTGTGGTAGGCCCTGGGGATGCAGTGGGTGAGGCACACACCCCACCCTTATGTCCATGGAGCTTCCAGGATGGGGAGGGACTGAACATGAAACATACAACAAATACATAATATGAAGAACAGCAAGGGTTCTGAAGAAAATAAATTCTACGAGACAGAATCGTAGGTCCAAACCTTTCTGAGGAAATGACATTTAAGCAGAGAGATGAAAGAGTAGCTGGAACGAGTCAGGCCAGTAGCCATGGAAAGAGTCATGACAAAGAACAGTTGGAGCTGCAAGCAGCCCAGCCACCCGCGGAGAGCCCCGGTGGGGCGGGGCTGGGCAGTGACCAGAGCGATGCAACAGGATTCTGGAGGGGACACCAGGGGCCCAGTTTGTAGGCACTTTTAGAACCTATTTACAAGCTTATATTTTATTCTGAGCCCAGTCGAAGGACTGGAATCAGGACTGACATCATCTTGTTATTATTTTTAAAAGCTCTCTGGGAGCTTTGTGGAGAACAAACATACTGTAAAGGGATGGGGCCTAGACTGGAAATGGGAACAGGTTAAAAGCCGACAGCAGTAATCCAGGTAAGAAAAAACACAAGGTCCCAGACCAGGGTCTCCAGTACTCAAGACGGACAGAAACAGTCATGAAGAAAAGTGGGTTCCTTCACACAAATGCTCCCCACCCCAGCCACAATGTGCCTGCATTCCATGTGACCTCAGTTTTTAGGTCATGGGGGAAGCCTCAATGGGGGTGGGGAGTCCAGACTGGAAGGTGGGAAGGAGCCTTGGAACTGGAGAGAAGCGGCCACACCAGCACCCACCACTTCCTTAGGAAGCCTGGAGGGGGCGGGGCAGAGGGATGGAAGTGGGGTCGTTAGGACTGGGTGGGAGAAAGGACCCTGAAAAGCCGCTTCTACCAGTCCCGTCCAGGGCCTGCTAAGCAGGGCTCCCCACAGAACCTGCTGCCCTGCTGGTTGGAGCCCCAGCTCGCTGGAGAGGCCGCTACACTTCCCTCGAGGCCCGGCCAGTAGCACCTACTCTCAGAGGTGGTCCCATCTGCTCTTTCCCCAGAGCCCTTTATACAGCCCTGTCCTACCGCAGGTGCTGGAGCCAAACAGGCTTGGGCTCCACCACTGTTTAACTAAGGGTGGGTGCATTACAGAGTCTCTCCTCCACGGTGAATGAGACCCTACCGTAAATGTGACACTGAACTAGCAGAACTCACGAGATGTAATTAAAACACCTACTTATTTAATTTGTGCCTCTCATAGTCTCCTTCCACTGGATAAAAATGTCAGCATTCCTGGGACTTTTTCACGGCCTCAACTTAGAAACTGGAAAGTTCAGTATATTAATCAACGTTTCAATGTTCATTGCAGGGTTACACTTCTCCCCTGCTCCAAACTAGGGCCTGATAAAGGGTCACCTTCCTTCCCAAAATAGAGGGGGATGGCTTTCCTCCCTCTCCTCCCCCACTTGGTCTGGGTAGGAGGTGGGGGAGGAGGGGAAGCCGAGTGCAGCAGGGCAGGTCTACAGACCCCCAGCAAGGTGGAGCTGACTGGTGATCACAATTCCTTCTCTCTCACAATCCTTCTGCATTCTTTGCAGGGTCCCCTCTGGGCCCTTCAACCTCCACTCACTTGCAGGGGCTGTGCCTCTATGTCAGTGGGCTGTTCCTGGTGCCCCTCACCTGCTGTTCCAGCGTACAGCCCACAGCCTCTTACTACAGGGGTTTTCTCTCCCCACAGGCTGCCGTCCTGGGCAGGATCCCTTCCAAGTGGCTCCTGGCAGATGCTGCAGGTGCCCTATAGGGCCCCCAAGAATCATGCCACAGTGACCCCCATCAAAGACAAGTCTGTTTCCTGTCCGCCTGGTAGGGGCTCTCTCCCACTGCTGGCCTGATGCCTGGGACTCAGGCACCACCTCTGGCCTTTAGATTCCTCTGGGTGTGTGGATGCATATGCAGGGTGTCCCCATAGCCACAGTAACACACACCAAGCTCTCCCCGTGTGTTGTGGGAGCACCAGTCCCACTGGACTTGGTGGAGAGGACAGTGCTTCCACCCCTCTGCCCTGAGGAATGGTGTGCACAGCCCAGCGCACTCCACAGAAATCTTCCATAAATCCTCCCTCCTTATCCCTGCAGCATTCCCTTGAAAATGAGATCGGGAGCCCACCAAGCAACCTGAAGCCCTGGGCAGTGCGTGACCACTGGGTATGATCGTACTTCTCCTTCTCCACCTTCCTGTCCCACGGAACAGGCTGGCCAGGCTCCCCAAGAAAACATGGCTATCTCTGCAGTCACCTTGTCCAGAGGCAAGATGACACACAGTCTGTGACACCATGGAGCTCCTGATGGCACAGGCAGATGGAAAGAGACCCTGTTGTGCCTTGCCGTGCAGTGCCCAACACAGACAGAGACCTGAGGCCCTGGTGCCAACCCAGGCCAGACTCTTTCAAGACAGCTGCCGCAGAGAGCTGAGGGCTGGACCGAATGAAGAAAGGCAAAGGGAAGTCCTGTCTGAATTTCCTGAGTCCAAGACAACTGCTCTCAGGCACCCCGCGCGTGTGGAGTAGGAGGGAAAAGGCAAAACCAGTGTCACGTTTCATAGATCCTACAATGCAGAGGCTGGTCTCCAACCATGGCGTTGGTGCCGGCTCCTCTGGGCTGCTCAGGCCACCCCACTGGCACCAGGCTGCCATCATTTCTCAAGCTTCTTGTGTGGAAACAGTTGGGGGAGCAGCTGATGGCGAGGAGGGAGGGGGTGACCAAGGAGTAAGACGGAAACCCAAGGAGAGTGTTTCTGGTTCTTAAAAATGTGCTCACTGAAGAACAGCCCGGAGCTGCCACTGGGGTGTCCATCTGAAGCAGCCCCAGAGCTGTGGGTTGAGTGCGGTGATGGCAGGAAAACTGGCAGGGATCCAGGAGCCCAACTTCATTCCTAGTTCTGCCACTCATTAGCTGTGTGACCTTGGGTAAGTCACTTGCCCTCTCTGGTCCCTGCCTTGGCTACTTCCCCCTGTACCTCCCTTCCTGTAACAACCATCTTCGTTGTCCAGCCAGAACAACACACACCAGTCTGTGTAGTTCAGCCCTATGTTCTGACCCTAGCACAGGGCCTGGCCTATGGCAGTGCTCAAGCGGGAGGAAAAAACCTGAGTGAATAAGATGATCAGTGACTCTACACCATGGACCCACTGTTCTTAATGCAGAAACCAATGGCCTGCCTTTGCCATCCCCAGACTGGGGCACGAGGGGCCCCACCCCGGGCCTGCCTTTTTAGAAGGCCCTGTGTATCACAAGCTGCATGACACGTTGTTTTTTTTTTCCTGTTTGGTCTTTTAAGAAACTTTTTCCAAAAGTTCAGTAATCAATTGACTAAACAGGAATTAGGGGAGAGGAACATACCATATAATGGGGGCCCTCGTGGGGGAGGGGAGTGGGGTCATGGTCTCTGCCCTGGGAAACCACAGAAGGGGTGCTCCTGGGTTGAAGTCACAGACCTATATCACCCACGTGAGTGTCCGGCCGGGCACACAGATGGTTGCACCCTCTCCCTCACCTCTTGGCGGAGTGGTGGGGGGGCAGTTTGGGGAGGCCCTGGCTCCCTGGGAATCTTCCTCCTGGGTTCGGGGGGGTTCCCCTGGGTCCAGGTACCTTAGGCACCTGTGCCAAGGCCAGGCTTCTGCTGTCAGCCCTCTGACCCCTCTACAAGCCCAGCCGGCCCATGAAACCACCCGCACGCACAGGCAGCAGGCTGCTTGGAAAAAGAACAGGCTGCTCTGTCCTCTGGGGATTAGGCTACAGAGCCCCGGGTAAGAACTGAGAGTGTCTGTGTGACTTTATACATCACTGAAATATTTAGGGACACGCTATGAGGCACTCTTTTACTTCAAGTCCTGCACATTAGAGATGTGTCTCCTGGTTGCTCCATGCCCAGGCCTAACTAGTCAGTGCACCATCATTCCTTTATGCCTTTAATAAACCCTTCTTAAAGCTCTACTATGTGCTAGATATTGTAGGGCCTGGTACCAGGCCCTCCAAGGATGTGATTGCCCAGCGAAGGTGACAGATATACAAGGGCATGTAAACTTGAACGTTGCGTGCTCAGAGCCGTGACAGAGACACACACAGGGTGTTTGGGATCACAGAGAAAAGTGTCTAAAACAGAAAGATGACAGATGACTTTTAAACTTAAGTGCCTCCCTCACCTCACAAATTGAGGACAAACACACTGTCAATCTGGAATCCAAGTGCTTTCTGGGAAAACTGGAAGAATCCAACCACTACAAAAAATCTAGTTAAAATGCAACAGCAGAAGAAATGGTTACTGTGATTCTTAAGTGTGTAATATATATCAGGCCCTGTGCCAAACCCCTTTCATGTATTATCTCATTTAATCCTAAGGAACTTTATGAGGTTTCGTCATGGTCCTCATTTTGCAGATGAGAAAACTGGTTCAGAGAGATTAAGTAATTTGCCTAAAGTCACAGAGCTAATGACTGTTAAAGCTGGAATTTGAACCCAGACTCTATCATATTCCAGAATCTATTCTTTAACCATCATGGCTTTAAATAAGCAAGAGTTGTGTACCAGCACTACTCTGGGTCACACATACAAAAGGATCTTCCTGGCAATCACTACTCTGGAAAAGAGAACACTGCACATACCACAGACTTCTCAGCTTCTAAGGTCTATTAAGCACGTTCAACTGCAGTAAAAGTGTAGTTGTGGCCAGTCAAATGAAGAACCCCTCTCAGAAAAGGAAAGCTAAAATGACCAAGGCGTGAGGCTCCAGACAAGGACTGTAGACATGCAGGACGGCTCAGTCTGGAACAGAAGAAACAGCAGAGTACCGGGGTCTATAAAACAGGGAAAAGCCAAGACAAGGTGGTTTTCAGCATATCCACCTCTCCATCTCCCAGGGGATGTAGTGCCTAGGCACACAAATAAATCCAAACGTCAGTGCCCAGCTTCTCTTTCCCCTTAGCAGAGTTCGACAATGGGGACCATGGCATCCTTGGAAAAAACTCTCTTCCCTTGGCTTTCATGATGCAAATCTCCCCTGATCCTCCTTCTTCCTCTCTGCACGATGTAGGTGAAGGCAAGTGAAATGTCTGGGGAGCAAACGTTGAGGCATTTACTTTCAGGGCCATGCAAATGCCTCCCTCTTTGGCTGGGTCTTTAATTGTGGACAGCCTTCCGGAACTGGCCCTGGGTTCTCTCCTCGCCCTTTCTCACCCAGGCCTGCAGCTTCAGTGTCCACATGGATTTAGAGGGTTGCAGGCTGGTCTCTCCAAACCCCATCGCACCTCCGAGTTCTGAGCCAAACGTCCAACAGTCCACCGTGGAAGCCCCTCTTGGCCCACTCTTTCTTTTTCTTTCTTTCTTTTCCTTCCTTCATCCCTCCCTTCCTCCCTCTCTTTCTCTTTCTTTTTTTTTTTATACCTGAAAAGTAATTTCGTTTTTGTTTAACCTTAAACTTGACACCCAGCTACACTCATTGGAAACTTAGTAAAAACTACTTAGTGATCTCACCGGGCAGTTATAACCATACAACTAAGGTGTTTGGAACAAAAGCCATATGCCAGATAAAATTCAGGAACTCTTATTATCTCTTCTCTTATAGAAACTCTTTCTCTATCATGGTACACTTTGATTAAGGGCCAGAAAGCATATCCCTTAAATGAGACAAAATTTTAAAGTTTCCCAAGTACCACTGTAAATAAGAAATCTTTCTTTCAAATACAAAATCAATTTCCTCAACTGTACAATGAATTGTAATTTAATGTTTTTCCTCTTGCTACTTTACTTCAAACAGTGACCTATACATTTGTTTAAGCAATAGTAAATTTCTTTCTGGTTTCTTCAGAAGAAATATCAAATCTGTTAGAGACAGTACTAAAAATATTTCACCTATCAAATATATGGCCTGTGCATTGAAACACATAGACATTTTTCCAATTAATTTTCAAATTTTATAGAACCTCTATTTTATAAAATATCCTGTTTGAAATAATTTGAATGAATGCTTTAACAAAAACTGATTCATAAGTCCCTATTCCCATAATCATCAGTTTTAACAAGTCTCCTAAATATGTTCTGCATCAGTTTTCTTGATTATTAGATGTCAATAATATGGACACATTTTTGATGTAACAGAACGTTTAATGACATCAGTTTTCCTTCAACACACAAGTCGTTTGCTGATGATTATATCAGCCATTTCCATCGGCCGGCAGGAGGCTCTTCCGCTCCCCACTCCCATGGTTTCCACTGTATCATGTTTCCTGCCAGGCTTAGTTCACTTCCAGCCTGAAGAATCACCTCTTCTATTTGGCCACCCTGAATCTGGTCTTCTAATTTTTTAGCATCTGGTTCCGCTTTAGCCATACCCAACTTCTCATTTGTATTCTGTTCTGTGTACTTTCTACGTGCTGCATTTTTAGGGATTTGCTCAAGAACATCTAGAGTTTTTGTGTGCAATATTCCCAGCCTCTCATGCGGACTTGTTACAGAACACAGCAAGGGGGGCCTGGGACAATATACTATTATTGAAAGAAGGCCCCGGGTCCGTTATGTCTGCCGCACTAGGAAAGACGTCTCTCAATGCCAGAGATTCGTGAAAAGGAAAGGAAATGTCTATTTAATGCTATACAGACTTCAAGTAGTGACCTAATGTCTTCATCAAAAATCCTAAAGTCCCTTAAAACACCCACAAACAGACACAGTCCTTCCTTCCTTCCCCCTTTGCCCAGTCCAGAGTACCGTATCTCAGGAAAGGAAATAGAAGTCCATGGCTCAGGCAGTCCTCTGGTTCTTCCCAGTTAGTCCTCCATCTCGACGGGGAGACCTCCCTGGGTTCCCAGCACCCTCAGCTGAGTCGCCGGGATCTCTGCTAAAACCAGGTGGTGGTTCCCCTTCTAAAGCTATGGGGGTCCCCGCTCTGTCCAGGCCTCGTGGTTCTCCCTCTCAGGGCTGCGGGAGTCTCCACTCTGTCAAGGCCGCATGATTCTCTCTCCTAAAGCAGCACGGTTCTCCCCCCTAATGGCCGCCAAGTCTGGGTTTTGAATCCCGCGGCCAATCTTTTTCTGCAGCCTCATTTCCGACTCCTCCCACACTCGGCTTCACATGCCAGAATTCATATCCTTCCAGCTTCACTGGGCCACCATCATGAGTCTGGGCAGGCGTGGCCCAATGTCCTGGAGCCAAGCTTCTCAAGCTCCCACGCAGGCGCTGTAGCTTGGGGGATCTGCCCCCAGTCACGTCTTGGTGGGGAAGTTACTTCCATTCCCCTGGCTCAGGGCATGGCCACAGCTATTTAACATATCTAAGCGACCAGCCAAAGGCTATAGATATGTTAAATGACCACGCCAGAGGGTAGCTGCAAGGCTGTTGCTATGCAAAACAGCTCTCAATGGCCCTGCTCCATTTGTCCCTTCCCCCAACTCACACCTGTGGGGGACGGGTGAGGACATCCTAATATTTCCTGGACACCTTGAGTTTTGGACCCCATTGCAAATGCCCATTTGGGGTCCCCCCTCTTGGCTGCACCCTGTAACAGACTCACACACACCGCCAGCCCCAGGAGGCCAGTAGTCTTCTTTAGCAAGCCCACCACAACAGCCCGGAGAGCGGAGCACCCCTCTCCGCTCTTTCAAAGACATTTCCAACTAAACATTATCAAAGCAGAATAATTTAAGATCCTCTCTCCAAACAGTCCCCAGTACACCCAGCCTCAGTGAATGGTTCCAGAATGTATCCAGTCCCCCAGACTGAAACCTTGGGGTCATCCTTGGCACAATCCCCTTCCAAACGCCCCAGCCAACCCACCAAACACCGTCTGTTTACCTCCTTGGTGTCTCTGCTTGGACCTGCATCTAGTCTACCACCGCCCTAGTCCAGTCTACCATGTTCTTGTGTCTGAATAGCTGTGAAAACCTTTTATCTCGCCCTTTATGTGGGCTCTCAGCAAAACCCCTCTTTTGCCCATCTCTGAGTCCAGAGCAATGTTTTCAAATTGCAAATCTGATTATATTACCTCATCCTCTCCCTCCCCCGTCCCTTGCTCAGAGCCTTTCATGCACTTCCCATTGCTCTTAGGATAAACCAGAATCCTTCAAATGGTCTATGAGAACCTTCGTGTTCTGGGTTCCACCTACTTCTCCACTCTCGTTTTGATTTGTGTTTGGTCAAGGGACTCTGTACCAAATTCCCATATGTGTGTATGGGGAGCAAGGCCCCCATACAAACAAAGTACGTGATGTGGAGGATACCGGCCAGCAGTATCCATCTGGGCTGTGGATGTTCGTCAACACAAGAGAAAAACATACACAGAGGCAACCAGGTCCTGTGGGGTAATAGGAACAGCAGGGCCACTCCTCACATGGGGAGCGCCTTGGCCACCCTCCCTGGTGGTGAGAGCGCCCCGTTCCCCCTCCGGAGAGGTTTTTTATTGGTTTCGTTTGAATAAGAATTCAGGTAAAATCTCATTACTCATTGCTAGGAAGTAAGGATCAAACAATAGATAACAAGGAAGTCTGAGGGCCTATTTTGAGTCAGGGTCAAAGAGTTGTAAAACTTTAAAGAACAAACTTACTTCTTCTTTGGACCCTTATCATTCAACTGAAAGCATTCTAAACAAAGCAGGTTTCACAGGATTTTACATATTCTTTCTTAGGCCTGATCACCCGGGGAACTCCCGCCCTTTTCAGCACAGAGCTACACCACCCTGTCATTGTTTCAGGCCTAGGTGGAGCAAGGGAAGTAAGCCAGCCAAGAGATAAGGAGATTTTCTCTGAGACACTGAGGACTCAGGCTATGTCAAAGCCGAGGAGCAAGGGTCCATCACCCCCTTTTGCTGTAGCCCCCAAAGTCCTTTCTTGGGGGCCTCACACGTGGTGGTGCCTGTCTTAGGTCGTTCCCCCCTTGGGGAATCTTACCCATCTTTGGCTAACCGACCAAGCTTTGGGGTTCAATTATGAATGAAGCAGGAGAAGCAGCGCTCCTGCCAGGGAGATAAGCTTTTGTCTCCTTGCTGGCTTATGGTCCAAGGTCGTTCCCTCAGCCTTAGCCTTGGTGGGAGTTACAGCTTCTGATACCATGCAGGTCGGTTCCCAACAACCTGACACCAGCTGGGTGTCCTAAAATTCAACTCGACTGTGGCACTGTCAACCTGGTGACCGTGTCAGATCCCACAGGTGTAGGGCTCAGTCACACAAGACCGCCTCCACCCCCGCAGATGCCAGTTGCAAGTCCAGGTTGTCACTGGTGCTTCTGATTTACCAGCTATAAATTTGGTGAATTTGCCAGAGTAACCCACAGAATCCAGAGAAACATTTTACTTACTAGATTACCAGTGTGTTATAAAGCTGAAACCCAGGAACAGCCAGACAGAAGAAAAGCACAGGGGAAGAGCACCGAGCTTCTATGTTCTCTGCAAACATGCTGCTCACCCCAAACCTCCACGGTTCACCAACCCGAAAGCTCTCTTAATCCTGCCTTTTTTTTTTTTTTAAATAGAGGTTTCATTACATAGGCATGATGATTCAACTATTGGCCTTTGGTAATTAATTCAAACTCCAGCCCCTCTCCCCTCCCTGGAGGCCTGGAAGGCAAGACCGAGCATTCCAACCCTTCAGTCACATGGTTGGTTCCCCTAGCAACAAGCCCCCATCCTTAGGTGATTTCCAAAAATCAGCTCATGAACAAACTCAGAGGCAGCTGAAAGGGGTTTGTTATAAACATCAAGACACGTTCATCACCCTAACCAGGAAATCCCAAGGGTTTTAGGAAAAACCCTTGTGCCAGAAATGAGGATGAAGAGCAAATATATATGTATCTTATAAATCACAGTATCACGGTCATGATCCACAAGTCCCATCCAGACTCACCTGGCTTTCTTCTGCCCCTTGTCCTTGCTAGTTTCTCCTCATTACTGATGCTTTCCACGTTCTTCCTCTTACCTAAGTAACTCCAAACAACCCTTCACCCAGTTCAGTCATCATTACCTAATGGATTTAACCCTTCCCAACTCAACTCAAGAGATGTTTCTTCAGGGAAGTCCTTCCGAAACTCCATGACTGGGTTAGAAGCTCTAGAAGATACCAGATACCTCCTCAGTGGCAACTGCACATTTGTGGGATTGGTTCAATAGCTGTCTCCAGTGCTGGCCTGTTGAATTTGACTGTGTCTGTTTGATTCACTGCTGAATCTCCAGGGTCCAGCACAGGGCCAGACACACACAGTGGGCACAGTAGAAATATTTACTAACTGACTGAATGAAATAAATTTAGTGTAATTCAACACACTGTTTGGTGGGTTAAATTTGACAATGCTTATTGGGCTTCCATAAAACATATAGCCTGAGTGAGGGCAAATAGCATCAAATAAAAACCATCTGATAGTAATTTCATTGTGCTCAGATAACTTGGTCCAACTGTGGAATTTATGGGGATTCATGAGAGACTGGCAAAGCCATTGGACAGTTACATTCTGTGGTCAATTATACTCCCATCTTCTGTTTGTACTGTTCACTAGCAGTGGCTTTTTCTGATATTTTGTTTTTATCACTCTTCACCCATCCTTTCCCTTTTTTCTCCTATATGACTTTCAAATGATTTCATCAGAAAACTCAATCTAACATGCACGTTCTTTGATCCAGACACCCCAGGCGAAGAACTCTAGCTTACAGAAATATTATTATCATTGCAATCAATATAATACAAAAAACATTCACTGTGGCAGGAAAGTAGAAACCATCTAAATGTCCACCAATAAAGAAAAGGATTAATAAAGGGATTAATATCTTGATAAGGAAGAAAAATGAAGTTGAAACATAATACGTACATTATGATCCCCCTCCACACACACAATACAGGTGAATAAAAGAATGGGCAAAAGTAGTTTTACAGTTGTGAGTACTCGAAATAGAGTTTATTCTTGTATTATTATTTATGTATTAATTATTGTATTCTTTATTATCATTACTAACCCACTTTTGCCCATCCCTGTATATGTTTGTACAAGCCTTGTAAAAATCTGGAAGAATACACATCAAATTGTCATAGCGAGGAGAGAGTTGGAGGAAAGTGACCGCATTTCTTGCTTGATAGTGATCTGCGTCATCTGAATTTGTGATAAAAGAATGTTATATTTCCAACTCAAAAACTCCAGCAATATAGGTATTATATTCCAGCCCTTGTGGCTTCTATCGATTGGTTCCCATAAGAATCAGCTCAAGCTATGACTTAAGCTTCAGTCCAAGCTCTCCTGGTGGGCTGGGAAACCTACAGGGGACATTTCCACTTTATCACAGAACAAAATTTAGGCTGCAGGAAAGAAACTGGAGGGGGATAAATTGTAGACTATGAAAAAATTATTGGGATGGAAGTGGAAGAGATGCTTATAAAATTTCAAGCAGTCTGTTGTTTTGATAAGGTAAGAGATCACATGCAAAACAAATCAAATGTGCATGGGGAAGAGAACAGACTTTGTGATCAGAGAGACTCTGGGCAAGTTGTCAGCCACTGAAAGACTCGGTTTTCTTATCTATCAGCTGGGTAGAATGAAAAGGCAATGTTGCTCCAAGGAGTACATGAAAGTGGGCAGGAAAAGGTAGTCATTAACCCAAAGCAGTCTATAGATTCGATGCAATCCCTATCAAAATTCCAATGGCATTTTTTTTATAGGTATAGGACATACAATTCTAAAATTTGTACGGAATGAAAGAAAACTGCAAATAGCCAAGGCAATCTTAAGAGAGAACAAAATGGGAGGCAACACACTTCCTGGTTTCAACCCATATTACAAAGCACTTTGGCATTGACATTAAAAACTGATGCATAGATCAATGAAACAGAAGAGAGAGCCCAGAAATAAACCCACGCAAATATGATCAATTAATTGATTACAAAGAATACACAATGAACATACAATGGGGACTGCATATTTAAGAATATAACAATTATAAGCCGAGAATATACAATGGAAAAAGAAAGTCTCTTCAATTAATCGTCTTGAGAAAAGTGGACAACCACATGCAACAGAACGACACTGAACCACTATCTTACACCTTACACAAAAATTAACTCCAAATGGATTAAAGACTTGAAATCATTAAACTCCTAGAAGAAAACATAGGCAATAAGCTAATTAATATCAGCTTATAGGTGGTAATTTTTTCAAATTTAAAACCAAAAACAAAGGCAACAAAATGAAAAATAAACAAGTGGAACCACACCAGCTAAAAAGTTTCTGCACAGCAAAGAAAACCATCAACAAAACAAAAAGACAACCTACTGAATGGGAGAAAATATTCACAAATCATGTATCTGATAAGGTGTTAACATCCAAAAAATACAAAGAACTCACACAACTCAATGGGAAAAAAACAAACAATCCATTCTAAAAGTGGTCAGAGGATCTGAATAGACATTTTTCTAAAGAAAATATACAGATGGCCAATAGGTACATGAAAAAGTGTTCAATATCACTAATCTTGAGGGATTTGCAAATCCAAACCAGGAGGTGATGTTACCTCACACCTGATAGAATGGCAATGATCAAAAGGATAAGAAAAAAGTGTCAGTGAGGATGTGGAGATGGGAACTCTTGTACACTGCTGCTGGGAATGAAATTCATGCAGCTACTATG